TGCATGTATATTATGATTAAAGTTAAAAATTTTTAATAAATATGTGTATGTGGTGATATATGTTATATAGTTGTTTTATAAATGTGTTTTTATAATAGTATGAAATGTATTATATCTAATGTCTGCAAGATTGTTAAATGGGGTGTTTTTATATGCTACGTAACATTAAAAAAATATATTGTGTTTTATAATTAGTATATATGTTTATATAATGTTGTTTCCATGATTTCAAAGTGAAATGACTTGGTAAACGTGTAGAGCAAAATTTATCAACCTTACCAGTCAAGCGATGTTACTGCTTTAGGTCTAAGTGTTGCCTAGACTTTAATATAACTATTCTAAAAACACATTGCTTTGTCTTTAATAATTTTTCGCGTAATGTTGTTACCTTTGGTTTATCTTTACGTTGGTGTCAGCTGTTAAAAATGATTAATAAGTAGTTTCATTATTAGAACTCACTGATTTTATTTATTTACTGAAATTCTTTCAAGACATCATTTCGCTATAAATACAATTTGTTTATCATAAAAAAACAATATTTAGCAACTACTACTCAGGTATCACCACAGCTTATCTCTATCAGGTACATTGATTTTCAATTCACACATGATGTTTTTCTTTGTATTTACTTATTCGTTACATTTTTAACTTCAGATTTATGGTGTATTTATTTTCTATAGAAGAACAAATCATTTTGAATTTTTTAAAAATATCTACTCCAATCAACATTTAAAGTTCATTGTTGCATATACCATTTTTAAGTAGCTTCTAGGCTTTTTTGATGCTTTTCTTATTCAAGTGGTTTTATAAGCAAGGTCTACAAGCAAATTTGAGATGAAAAGTTTTTCAGCTTTCAAGGAGTATTAATGTTGTTCTCTGTTTAATTTAATTTGTTTAAATAGAGTAGTTTTAGTAAATAAATGTTTGTTTGTTCTTGGTTTTTTACTTATTTGTTTTCAGATTCTTAAGAACTAGGCAACTTAGCAAAGCAAGATTTGTTTTATTTTATAGTGCGATTGGAAAGAGCTAAAGTGCTTTTTTAGTCACTTCAAAATCATTTGTTGTTTTTTTTAAATAGAAGGGTTAATAATAAAAATATTTAGGCAGTCGAACTGTTACTGATTTGAGTAAGTTTAATGTTTTGTTTAATTTTGTATTAGATATATATTTTATGTATTTAACATGGAAAACTTACTGTAATTTTGACAGGTAAGTTTATTTACATAAATGTGCCTATATATCAAAATATTTTATATTTCTCTGAATCTATGTGAATATTATCTCAAAGAAAAAATTAAGAATAGAAAAAATTTGAATATATATACATATATATATTACTTTAGACTGACATTGCTTTATTTTTTATACAAGATTCTGCATTTATTATTTTTGTGCTTTAAGATTGTGCCTGAAGGCTTTCTTAATTTTGCAAAGAATTTAAAACACAATGCAAACAACTTTGCATTGTGTTCTAAATTCTTTGCTAAATTAAAATAATGTCAATAAATTTTGTTTTATATTTTTCAGTTGAAAAAATATAAAAAGTTCATTTATTCAGTTGTAACAGTAGTATAATCACTGGTAATATATATTTAATGATAACAAATGTATAATATTAGGCTCGAAGAAGTTATTAGTGTAAATGGTTATAGGTGACTTGAAATTGTTGTCATATGAAAGAAATAGATCTAGGCGTAATAAAATTATTTGTCGTTGAAATTGAAGAAATTTTGCTTGATGAACCGAAAACTTACTTGACAGAATTAAGTGTCAAGCGGTGTTGATGTCTATTGTTTGACTTCACATTAGACACTTTAAAATAAAGCAGAGTATGAATTTTACTATTTATAGTAACAAATAATAAGAGTTTTAATTTTAAATGATTTTTTTTTTTTTTTTTTTTGTTTTGTTATCTTAAACATAATTATGTTCATTTTTTTTTTAGTTGTCTTGTCATCACTTGATTATTTTGCTTACTGTTGAAACATGGTTTTAATTTTGTAAATTTAATATGATGTGAAATTTACAATATTATTCATATTTCAACAGTTAGAGAGAAGCTGGAATTTATTTTAGAAATGCTGGAAATTAACTTTTAGTTAAGGTAAAAATTATTTTGTTTATTAGAAGCATAATAAAACCAGTTACTGTTATTTATTGCATGACTTTTTTACTTTTTCTAACGTTCTGTTTTTAAAACACTTCCTCTCTCTCTTAGATGAGACTTAAATAAAAATTAGTATTGAGAATTGTAGAGAGATAATTGATTAAACTCTTTAAATACTAAGCTCTTGCGTATTTTTTAATACTGCGATTGATAATTTGCTATTTAAAGATATAATTATTTAAATTGTCCCTTGGTTGTTCAAATATTGTAATAAATAAAAAAATATTTAGTTACAAGTATTTTCTCTTAGGGATCGTCTATATATTACCTAACGCAAAATTAAACATATAAAGAAATATCTCAAAAACCGTGTTTCTCTAATGGTCAACTATATGCTGCATTTTCAAGAACTATAGCATTTAATAGTTTGTTTTTCAAAATGTAACAAATATTGTTATATTTTTTAATGTTCCTAATTTATAGTCTTTAGATTTTCATTTCAAAAATTTATTGTTAAAGGTTGTGAGCACATTTTGTATGTATAACTTTATTTATCATTATTTATTTTTTTTTCATTGTTTTTGGTAAATATATTTATCACTCAATAGTTGTAAAATGTGTTTATACGTGTTACATAAAGTCATATTTGTTTATAGTTGTATATATGTTTAAATTATAAAAGCCAAAACATCAATTTATATTTTAGTTAGATTTTTTTTTTAGTATTGCTTAAGTACTTTTAGTATTGCTTTGGTACTTCGAAACAGGTTTTATTGTTACATTTTCGATAAATCTTTAACTGCAATTTCAAAATAGGTTACTATAAAATAGGTAAATCGATTTTTGGTAATTGTGTGGTGGTTTTTTTTTTTTTTTTTTTTTTTTTTTGTAATTATGATATCATAATTTCATTACTTTTTTATTTTAGAACTACGTTATGACGCTTTTATAAGATTTATAAAATAAAATAATCTGATTTCTTTTTATTGTAAATTTTTGTTAGTTAAAAAGATATAAATATATGCTATTAGTTAATAGAATGGGGGGTCGTTACTAAAAACCTTTAAAAATATGGAGAATATTGCAGTTTTGCGCATTAATATCGAGTTACTTAAGTTTTATTTATGTGTTTAACTAATTAGTTAGCTTAGTCTGTATTTGCAACACTTTTGAGAAAAGATAGAAAACATTCTTATATATGTTGATCATTGTTTTACATTTTATTATTTTAATTTATTCACCTGGCCACCATTAAAGCATAAAAGAGGGAAGGAACCTCATTATTAGAGTCAAAATATTTAGGAAAATTAAATTTCGAGTTACAAAAGGAATTTTTAGTAAATGGTGGCAAATTACCGTTTAATAAAAATTAATGAAATAAAGAGGACAAACTAATATAGAAATGGTCTGTGTTGAACAGACTTAACAAGACCCGGGTCGGATCAGCTTGGTTTACAAAGTTTTATGTCTACTTATCTCTTATAATTTTTGTTTTAGGTTTGTCATATAATGCATTAATGCATTAACAAATTTGTTATACCCATGTTTGATTGTAAATTAAATTTTTTTTGTTTGAAAGGTATTTGTACTCAGTTGCGTAGTTATTTATGATAAACTTTGTTATTTTTTTTAAATTTATTTAAATGTGTGCATTTAACATTTTTATGTAAACAATTTTCTTTTCTAAAGAACAATTAATCAAGGGGATACCAAAAAATTGATAACTCCTGTATAATATAAGTTAACTTCATTTTAATCTTAATGGTTCGTGTTATAAAAATTATTACAAGGATTTAGTTGACACTTTCGTCAAATTAAAGCATGACAAAGTGTTATTATTTTGTGTCATTAACTAAAAACGTGTTGTGTTAAACTTAGGAAGGTCGATGAAAATGGTTCTGCTTTACAATAACAGTGTAAAGCAGAACCATTTTCATCGACCTTCCTAAGTTTAACACAACACGTTTTATGCCATTTGTAAATTTCTTAAATAATGTTAAGTAGTAATTGTAAATGTTAAGTAATAGTTGGTAAATTATTTTATTTCATACTTTTTATGTTAATTTTACAGATGGATTATTTTTTTAAGCTGAAGGCAATTTTCTAAAAAGGTTCAACATTAAATTGTGGAAAACAGTCACTATAAATTAATTATGTAACAGACCGACCAAAACCCGTATTACGGGTTTGCTTTTTGCTAGTATTATATTATTTATATAAATCAAGTCATTTACAGTTATTTGTTATCGCCCTTTAAGAAGGCCCAAAAACTTCAGTGAATGCCGTATAGTACAAATATTTGCATTTGTTTCAAAGGCTTTATTTGAATTTTATGTGAATGCGAAATAAGTTGAGACATTAAACAATGATACTTTATATCAATTTTTATTACCTTTACGAAATTTAGTGCAAATCGATTTATTTCCCTTTTTTACTTTGCACAAATGTTTTTTCTTGGCTTTGGTCCGCACTACTCAAAAATGTACACTTTTTGTTTTCTTTTTATTATAATTTTTAATCAATATTTTTAGGGGCTGTACAAATAACGCGTGAAACCCATGTAACATTTTGTGACATTTTTGTCAACCCTTCCTTCTCCTCTATATGAGACGTGACATTTTTTTTAAACAAACAACCTAATTTACCTCAGAGTTGGCTAATTTTTGGTTAAAATTTCATCAATTTTGCTGTGATTAGAATTTAAATTTAAAAAAATTTATCATGTCACCCTGTAGCTTAGCAACCCCTTCTCCATGTGATTTTTGCGACACATTGAACAGTGTTTACGGAGACTGTCATTATTTGAACAGCATTTAGTATTAAAGTTTTAAGATGTCATTTCTTATATTTAGAAACGCTCTTGTGCTGAATATTCTGATGTTGCTCAAAATAATGTAAACTTATTTTCATCAAATACATCTTTGTTAACCACATCTTCCTTAATTGACAAAAGTTCAATTGACTTAAAAACTGAGGTAAGTTCACCATGTTTTACCTTTGTTTGCTACATAATGTAATATAATGTGTTCTTTATATAGATTTTCTTTATAGGTTTTTTATAAAGAAAGCCCCCTCCCTTTCCCATGTGATTTTTGCGACACGTTAAACAGTGCTTACGGAGACTTTAGAATTTAGACCTTCCAGACAAATAAAGTATGCATTAGTAGATAGTTTTAAAATATAATATTTTTATAGATAGACTTAAAAATAATTATCTGTTTGTTCATTATTTAAAAGTAATAGTTTTAGTTTTTGTTTAAACTGATCAAGAGTTTTAAGTGTTTTAATATCATTACTGATTATCTTATTCCATGCATTAGGTCCTCTAACAGTTATTGAAAACTTGGTGGAGTCGTATATAGTTTTGGGTTGAACAAAGTTGTTGTTAGAATATTTAGTTACGTATTTGTGTTGAATTTTATTAAATAATGGTTTGAAGATATTTGGTATTGAATTGTTATTAATTTTATACATAAAAATCAGAAGATGATATATATTTATTTGGTACACATTTAGTATTTTTAGATTGTTAAACAATGGTCTTGAATATGAGAGGCGGTGTGCATTTGATAATAATCTAATTGCATGTTTTTGTTTGCTAAATAGCTTTTTTATCTTTGTTTTATTGGTGCTACACCAAGCAATGTTTGCATAATTAAGATAAGAATGTTTAAATGAGTAATATATATATTTCAAGCAGGATTGATCTAAGAATGGTTTTGCTTTATAGAGTAATCCAATATTTTTAGAAATTTTATTTTCAATCATGTTTATGTGGTCTTTCCAATTTATGTTTTCATCTAGAATTACACCTAAAAATTTCATCGAACATTCTCTTTTTACGAGCTAATCTCCAATAATAAGTTTTGGAAGTTCAAGAGGAATTTTTTCTTTTTTATGGAGGCGATGAAAAATAGTATATTTAGTTTTAGTTAAATTAATTGAAAGTTTGTTCATATTTAACCATTCGTTTAGTTTTAGGAGTTCAATGTTGACCGTTTTAAATAATGCTGTTATATCACTATGAGAATAAAATAAATTTGTATCATCAGCAAATAAGATAGAATCTAGAATATTAGAGGCTTTGCTTAAATCATTAATATAAATTAAAAATAAGAGTGGTCCTAATATAGATCCTTGAGGAACGCCGCAAGTAATTGTCATATTGTTAGTTTTTTTATTGCCGAATGAAATATACTGTTTTCTATTAGATAAGTAGCTTTTAAACCAAGCTATGTTAATATTTTTGATACCGTAGTTCTCTAATTTATTAATTAAAATACTATGATCAACTGTGTCGAACGCCTTACTTAGATCTATGAAAACACCTAAAGTGAACTTGTTTTTATCAAAAGCTTGAAAAATAATCTGAACAAGATGAAGAATTGCATGATCAGTAGAGTGTCCTGTTTTGAAGCCAAATTGTTTGTTATATAGAATATTATTTTTTTCTAAATATGAATATAATTTGTTATACATAATGCGTTCTAGTATTTTTGAGAAGCAAGGAAGAATGGAAATAGGTCTATAATTAGAAATATTAGTATTATCTCCAGATTTAAAAACTGGTATTACCCTCGTAATTTTAAGTTTTTTTGGAAAGATTCCTTGTTTAAACGAAAGATTAAATATATGCAAAAGGATTTTTTTAATATAAAAGATACATTTAATTATGACATTACTGCTAATGTTATCAACTCCTTGTGATTTGTTTAATTTTAATGAAAGAACAGCATCTAATAACTCTTTTTCGGTTAACTCCGCATTTTCCATTATTGATTTGCTAGGAGTCAAGTATTTCTCCTTGTTAAAATCACTATGTTTTAGTTTGGATGCTAAATTTAGACCTGCGTTGACAAATACGTCATTAAACGTTTTAGCAATTAGAGATTCTTTTGTAATATATTGATGATTGTAATTGAGCTTTTTTGGAAGACCATTTAACATAATTGTTTTTTTTCCAATTACTTCCTTAATGACTTGCCACGTTTTTTGATTATCACCTTTGAATTTTATTATTTTATTTGAGTAGTATAACTTTTTTGAAAGTTTTATAATTGATTCAAAGTGACTTTTATATTTTTTATACCTTAGTTCATTTACATAGGTTCTTTTTTTCAGAAATACTTCATACAAACGTTGTTTTTTTTTAGACGATTTTATTATTCCTGGTGTAATCCAGGGGTTTATAAATGTTTTAGTTTTAATAATTTTTGTTACCACCGGGAAAGCTTTATCATAATGATCTTTGAATATCCGAAGAAAACTGTTATAAGCAGTCTCTGCAGTTTGAATTTGTAAAATATCGTCCCAGTTTTCAGAAAATAAAGAATTATTAAAAAGTTCCATAGAAATGTCATTATATACTCGATTTGTAATTAATATTTTTTTGTGAGGGGTGTGTTCGACACTTTTATGTGCAATTATAAATATTGGGAAATGATCCGATATATCGGATATTATTATTCCAGTTTTTATTTTGTTTTTTGTATATTCATTAATTATTATTTGATCGATTGAAGTTGCGCTATTTCTAGTAATTCGTGTTGGTTTATTTATAGTTGGAAAAAATCCATTTTGAAATATGATGTTCATAAAATTTTTAACATTTTTATTTGTGTCGTAATCAAGCACATTATAATTAAAATCTCCCACAAAGAAGACACGTTTGTCACATAAAACTTTGCTTTTAATTAATTTTTTAAAGTGTTTTTCAAAAAATTTATTATTGCCAGATGGCGGTCTGTACACGACATGTATAATGACGTTTTTCGTGACTTTATTTAAAATTTCGATCGTTAAAGATTCACAATCATTACTAATTACACTAAACTCGGTTAGCGGTTTAAAATTTAAAGAATTATGGATAAAAATACATACTCCTCCACCTATTGTCTCAGAGTTTCTGAGTTGATGAATAACTGTATAGTTTTTTAGTTGATAATTTGAATCTTTTTCAATTTGTTTATCTCGACACCAGGTCTCTGTGAGACAAATAGTTTTAAAATTAATTTCAAGACCAAATAAAAAATCTTTAAATTTATCAAAATTTTTACGAAAGCTCCTAATATTTAGGTGTAAAATAGAGAATGCATTAATATCCAAATTTGCAGTAACATTAGAAATATCAGAATTATAATAAGAAGGACATATATTTTTAATGATTTCATTAGTGTTAAAAAAATTAACATCTGGATCTGAATTATTCTCTAAAAGTATATTTTTATTTTTTAGGGTTAGGGTTATAAAGCATAAACGTGTGCTTTGCTTTAATTATCTTTTGCACTTTAATAAAAAAAAAGATTATGTGGCTTTATATAATCATCTCCATTATATTCATTAAATAATATCATTTATATTATTTAACTTAGAATTCAGTTAGGTCTGGTGATTGCAATGTGGAAAATGTGGAGGTTTATTTAGATTTTTGCAATGTGGAGGTTAATTATTTTTTGCAATTAATTTGCAATGTGGAGGTTTTATTATTATCCAATTATTTTGCAATGTGTAGGTTTATTTAGAATTTAATTGATTATGAGAATTTAATTATTTTTGGAAGACTTTAATTAATTAGATTTTTAGAAACTATTTAATAAGAAAAATATTTTATTTACATATTGTACATTAGATTAATTATAATTGTTTTAAATTAACCTCATAATAGTTTGTTATTTTATTTTTCATTTTTTTTTAGCATTCGGTTGAATTAGACAAAGAGGTAACATTTTTATTTTCAACATTTTTGACTTTTTAGCTTAAGTTCAACCGAAATTTTGTATTAAAAAAGATTGCAGGCACAAAAATAATTATAAAAGGTATTTGAAAATGTGCTTGCAATAATTGTTTTTCATCTCAAAGTTTTCAAAACTTATGTTTTAGCGTATATTGAGTATCATTTTCATTCAATAATAGATAGATTATGAACCTGAACATGCAAGCGAGTGTACAACAAAGAAGGTAAAAGTTTTTTAAACTTTGTAAATATTTTAAATTTATTCTTATCTTTCTTAACTGACAAAAATTCATTTAATTAGTCTTTAGGAAGTTTTACTTTGTTCACCTATATATTTTCTAAATAATGCAAGCGTTACAAAATTTGGATTAAACAAAACATAAATATTTTTTCTCTATTTGTTAATTTTTATTACAAAATCTGTAAATGCGTACTAATATAGTATAAAAGTAATTTTTCATTGCAATTTATCAATAGTATAAATGCAATTTTTTGAAATTTTAGGAAAAAAAAGAATTCACCGTTACTGTATTTTTTGTTTAAAATTTAAGTCATCTCTGTCAAAACATATAATGACTGTGCATAAAAACCATCCAGAGGTTTTAATTTTAAATACAAAGAAGGCTAGATTGAACTGTTTAAAAGATTTTAAAAGGAGAGGAATTTTTCAATACAACAAAGCTGAAGCTGGAAAAGAAAATCCAGTATATCAAAGGGAAAGATTTTCTCTGAAAAACAAAGAGTTAAATTATTGTAGCTTGTGTACAGCGTTTATTTCAAAGAAATTTTGGCACAATCATGAAAAAAATTGCCAAAGGAGCACAGATAGTTTTGAAAAAATAGTTCCAATACTAGCCAGTCTTCTTGGGATACCTAGTTTGACAATGGTAAACGAAGAGTTTACAAACAACATTCTGTCTCATTTAAGAAATCATAGAATTTCTAATATTGCTCTACACGATAAAACAATTCTAAAAATTGGCTCTATGCTTTACGGAAGGGAAAAGTATAATAAGGACAAATTTGTTGTATCAAGAAACTATGTCCGAAATTCAATGAAGCAATTGAGTTCTCTATATGAGGTTTTTTGTCAGCAGGCAGATGTCGAAAAAATTAATAACAATTCAGCAGACATGTTCGAATGTTCAAATAATAGAGCCTTTCGAGCAGCCGTTCGGTTCTATACTACAAAAGATAAAGATGATTTAAAAGCTGGACTGAAACAAAGTTTGTGCTATTTAATAATCAACTGTGTAAAAATTATTAAAAGAATATATATTGAAGAGCAAAACTCTGATGCTGCTAAGCAACTTGATTCTTTTTTCTCCTTATTTAAAATGTGGAAAAAAAGTACGTTTAAAGATGCCTCTAATAAACTAATACAAACAAAGCATAGCAAATTACAAAAACCTTCATCGCTTTCTTTGGAAAAAGACTGTGAAATATTTAAAAATTATATCTTATCAAAAATGGAGTTTTTTACTGCTAATCCACTGTGGATGGAGTCGTTTAATGTAGAAAATTTTGTGGAATTAAGAGATCTTGCATGTGCTAGACTAACATTTTTAAATGCTAGGCGAGGTAGTGAACATTATAAATTTATATTGTTATAATTATATTAAGAAAAATTACCCAGCGTATTAAATAAAATATTATGATCTCCCAGAAAACACCTGGTCTAAAACAGACATTTTTAATACGTCTATTAAAGCCATTAGACGTTTGAATGTCTTCTTTAGACCAAATGTTTGCTGGGATAGCAATCTTGTTGTTTCAATTTAATAAGTTAGTACCATTTAATTTAATGTTTGATTTTTGTTAAATACAAACCAATAACTTTGTGTATTATTGGAATTGCTAAATTTAATTTTTATACTTTAAATTTATTTTTAAGGCGGCGAACCAGCAAGATTATTATTAAGTCAGTACAATGAAGAGGTTGGGGACGAATACATAGATATACATCGTCTCCATGAGTTTAATGAAAAAGATCAAGACTTAAAAAAGTCGGTTAAAATAGCATGTATGGCAGGTAAAGAAAGAGTTTCAGTTATTATTCTGGCGGACACTCTGAGGGCATTATCTATAATTTCTAATATAAATATAAGAAATAAAGTCAACATTCCTAAAAACAATCCTTAATATTCTAATGGTCATACTTCGGGATGGAATGCAATTGATAGTATAGTAAAAGCATTGGCCCAAAAAAAACCAGAGCATTTCAACGCTACAAAAAATAGACATCGATTAAGTTCTATTTTCGCAACACTTGATTTGTCAACACACGATAGGGATCTATGGTTTAAACACATAGATCACTCAGAGGAAACCAATAAAAGTACATATCAAATACCGCTAGGTATGTTGGATATTGTGAAAGTTGGAAGAAGACTAATGAGTATAGAATTAGGTATTTTTCTTTGACTAATTTTCAGTTAAAAAACTAAGATTAACAAATTATCATTATTATTTTATAAACAATAAAAAAAAAAATATCATGTTGTAAAATATAATATTTTATTCATTTTATCTAGTATATTTTACAACGTATTTAATAAAATATTTTTTTGACTTATATAAAAAAACCTTTGATCAAAAAACCTTTTATCAAAAAACCTTTTATTGAAAAACTATGCAAAATGTAATGTATTTTTATCTAATAAAGGTACAAGTGCAAGTACATTTATTCCATCGGAGAGTCAAAATAAGTGTCAAAATCTACAGATACAAGATATGGTAAATATGCAGTTTTACTTACTTTTTTTAACAACTTAAATATTGCCTTCTTAGTTAATATCTATGATTTATACAAATTTAAATCACATTGATTCCAAAACTATTTTTATCTGAAAAAGATGCAAGTTCCATTACATTTACTCTTTCGAAAAGTTTTGCAAGTCAAAAATCTACAAATACAAGATATGGTAGTTACGAAGATGTTACATACTTTGTTTTAATAATTGAAATATTTGCGCTTTAACTATGTCTTTTTTAACTTCTTAATTAATATCTATGATTTATTTATATAAAATTTAATTTTGATAAACTTATTTGAGAAAAATGTAAAACTATTTTTATCTAATAAAGGCGGAAGTTCTAGTTTATTTACCGATTCGAAGAGTTGTGCAAGTCAAAATGCAAGAAAATCTACTCATAAAAGATATAGTAACTAGCAGTTGTAATTTTTTTTTTTTTTACAAATAATATATTTAGCTTTTAAATTGTTTCTATAATTTATAAAAACAAAATTTTTATTGATCAACTTGTATGAGAAATTTAAAACTATTTTCATCAAACAAAGGTGCAACTTCTAGTACATTTAATCCATCAGAGAGTTTTGCATATCCAAACGCAAGTCAAAAATCTGCAGATACAATATATGGTATTTATAAAGTTGTTACCTAACTTTTTTTTTAGCAAAATAAATATTTGGCTTTTAAGATATATATATGATTTATACAAAAAATCTTTTATCAATAAACTTATATGCGAAAATGTAAAAGTATTTTTATCTAAAGATATTTAGTTCTATAGTTTATACAAATAAAATCTCTATTGATAAACTAATATTAGAAAATGTTAAACTATTTTAATCTTATGAAAATGCAAGTTCAGGTACATTTATTCCTTTGGAGTGTTGTGTTGTGTTTTAGTTTATAAAAATAAAATTTCCATAAACAAAGTTTAATTAGAAAATGTTAAACTATTTTTATCTAATAAAGGTGCAATTTTTAATACATTTACTCCTTTGGATTGTTGTTGAAAGTCAAAATGAAGGTCAAAATTCTACAGATATTAGATATGGTAGTGACGCATTTGTTACCTTTTTTTAACAGTTTAAGTATTTGGGTTTTATTATAGTTCTATGATTTATACTAATAAAAACTTGGTTTATAAACTTATATGCAAAAATTTTAAAATCTTTTCATCCAAATAAGGTGCAAGTTTCAGTACATTTATTCCATCGGAGAGTTTTGCAAAGCAAAATAAAGTTCAAAAATCTGCAGAGAAAAGATATGGTATTTATGAAGTTATAAACAAATTTTATTTTAACAAAACTGATGTTTGATTTTAGTTTTTTCATATGACTTATTTCTTATTATTAAAACTTTTTTTATATAAACTTATATGCGAAAATGTTGAACTCTTTTTATCAAATAAAGGTGCAAGTTCAAGCACATTTACTCCTTTGGAGTGTTTTGCAAGTCAAAATGAACGTCAAAAATCTACAGATATTAGATATGGTAGTTACGCTTTGGTTACCTTTTTTTTTTTTTAACAGACTAAATATTAGAATTATAATATGTTTTATGATTTATACAAATAAAAGTTACATGCAAAAATGTAAAACTCTTTTCATCTAATGAAAGTGCAAGTTCCAGTAAATTTATTTCATCAGAGAGTTTAGCAAAGCAAAACAAAAGTCAATAATCTTCAAATATAGGACATGGTATTTATGCAGTTGCTTTATTTTATCAAAATTTATGTTTAAGTTTTAATTTGTTTATTAGATTTATACAAATAAAAACATTTTTATCAATAAACTTATATGCAAAAATGTAAAAGTATTTTTTATCTAATGAAGGTGCAAGTTCTAATACATTTATTCTATCGGAGAGTTTTGCAAGTCAAAATGAACGTCAAAAATCTACAGATACAAGATATGGTAGTTATGCATATATACTTACGTTTTTTTAAGAACTTGAATGTTTTGGTTGAATTTATTTTTTTAATTTATACAAATTAAATTTCCATTAATACACTTTTATTAGAAAATGTTAAACTATTTTTTATTTAATGAGGGTGTAAGTTCAAGAACATTTACTCCTTTGAAGTGTTTTGCAACTCAAAATGAAGGTAAAAACTCTACAGATATTAGATATGGTAGTTGGGCATTCGTTACCTTATTTTTTTTGAATAAATTAGTTAGTGTAATATATATTTTTTATTTATACAGATAAAATTTTTTAGATACAGTTAAATGCGAAAATGTTGAACTCTTTTTATTTAATCAAGGTGCAAATTCCAGTACATTAACTCCTTCGGAGAGTTTTGTAAGTCAAATTGATGCTCAACAATCACCAGATAATAGATATGGTAGTTAAGCATATGTTACTCTAATTTTTTTTTCAATTAAATATTTGCATTTTTTATTGTAGTTTTTTAAGCTTTAACATTGCATTAGGTGTCACGTGGGGTTGAGGAGTGGTGTACAGTTAAAAATTTAGCTGATTAAAAAAATCTTGTTTATTAAAATTCATTTACTGGCTGTTCAAAAGGGCTCTAGAACAGTATTTCAAAGGGAACTAATAAACAATTTTCTTTTCATTTTGTCTGCAAAATAGACCTTTTAGACAAGTCAGTCTATATTTACGGACTGATTGGTCTAAAAGGTCAATTTTGCCAACAAAATGAACAATTTTTAAAAAAACTGTAAATGGCATCTAAAATGCTTAATAGGGCCCGTCAATTTTACCTCAACTTTGCCCCAATCGTGACCCCTACCATTTTTATTTAGTTTTAACATTGCTCTTTTCTATTTTTAAATAAATCAGTAAAATATAATGAATAAAAAAGTGTTTATTTCAGCCTTAGCCTATTTATTTTAACTTTCAGCGAATTTGACTTTAGCCCTTCTATTAGCTCTTTTGCTCCATTTGTGACTCTTTGAAATTTTTTTTGGATTGTAAAAGTATTTTTTCTATCGTTTCCAAACAAACCTAAATAAAATCTATTTGAGTGTCACGGCATAAAAACGCGGCGGTATCTCAGTGTTCTTTGTGTCTCACAGCGTGCACATTGTTTCATAAAACGGTCCAATAAACATTAAAATTAAGTTAAATTCAAAAAATAACAAATTTAAAATGTAAATTAAACTTTTATGCTAGAATGTTTATAAATATTCTTAAAACATAATTAAATAACATATTTATAATACTATATATAATTATCTGTTATATCTTTCCTTAAAAACATATCTCTTTTAAAAACATGTATAATCATATCAATAAACATGATTTAATAAAGTTCTTTTTTTAAACATTTTAAAGACGTAGAAACAAAAAGCAGAGGTACAAACAAGAAAGAAGGAAAAATTTGCCAACCAGAAATTGTGCCAGGTATATTTTAGAATAATAACTTATGTAACAGGGTGAAACTATTAACTAACAGTAGATAGAGAGGTTGTTATTAGTATTTATAGTAATATTTGTTAATAATAAATGCATAAAATGAAAATACTTTTGTTAAATTTTTAATGTATTACATTGTTAAACAAAACATTTATGAGTAAATTTTTTAACGGACATATGTTATAGCTGATTTATTTTGACTGTAAAACAAATTTCAGAAAGAAAATATCATAAATGGGTTTTGAATGAAGAGACACAGCTAATACAATACTTTCAAAGTTATATTAATGAAAACAAAATGCATGGTAAATTTTTTTAACTAAATAGTTTCAATGTTAATTTACATATATAAACTTATATTAAATATAAATTTTGCAATTATTTTTGTTAGACAAAAAAAAAATTATTCAGGTTTTGGAGGAGAAAATGATAGAACAAAAGCAAGAACAAAAGAATTAAAATTCTGAACAATAAAAATCATCGTTTGAAAGATTTAAACATGATAGAGTAGATTTATACATGATAAACATGATAGAGTAGAGCCCGTTTAGTTATTTGTAACATGACAAAAATAGATCCGTCAAACAGAACTTTTTTTAGAACATATTTCTGTATATTTCAATAATAAAACCTTTGATTTATATTTGATATATCTTTGATCTATAGTTATGATATGATCTATTATTTTCTTCATAGCAATAAGGTTATCAATTTTAGTAAGTTCTATAGTTGTCTCTAATTAAAATAGCAATCTCTGGGTTTTCATAAACACTTAGCAATAAATCAAAAATATCTCTATAAATAAAAACTTAATGGTTTCAAGGTCTTTACTCCTATCAGTTGTCACTCAAGTTTCAGAGTATTTCCTATCAAAAATAGAAATTGAAAAAATTATTATATTAACATTAAAACGAGATCATAGGAGGAGAGGGGGGAAATAGACCAAGTTTACACTTTTCTTATAAATTTTTAATTTTATTTTTGAAAACCTATAAGTACATCTATAATTTTATCTTATAAAGTAAATCTATAAGTATATCTATAAGTCTATAACACAACACGGTATATTAGAGAGGCTCTTTTATTATGCTAATAATTTTAATCAAAGTTTTATATTTATTCATCTTGAAAGTATAAATACTTCAAAACGCACCTATAAACCTAATATGTTATATTACTAATAGGTTTTTATCATTTATTATTATATAATTAATAGACTGCACTTATAACTGTATACATAGATCATCCTAATCATATTTTAAAAATAATGAAATATCCGGAAAAAATCCGGAATTTGTTTTCCTTTATTTTCTTTTTAATATACCTTTTAGCTAAGTTGTTTTTGAATTTTTTTGACACTTTTCATAACTTTTTGCGCCTTACAGCGCTTTCATAACATTCTTTATGTGATAAATGAGAAACCTTAAAAATCAAATATATTACAAAAATATATACCTCAACTTGCATGTACTGAAAATATATATTTTTAATTTTTTAAATATATTGCAATCAGGGGCGATTTTACGGGGAGGGGAATTGTGTGAGGCAATTTTACGGGGTGTAAAACCCCCTCCTCCTATGATGGTGATTTTCAAGTTTTAATCGGTGTGTTTTTACGAATTCAGTCGGGTAGTCGGTTAAATTGTCGTTTTGAGGACCTTTTTTTTTTTACTTGTTTTTTTTTTTTTTTTTTTTTGCAGCTAGTCGGCACATTTTTAGAATTCACCATCCCCTCCCCTCATTTTATTTGTAAAATCGCCTCTGACTGCAATCATTTTTACAAACTAAGAATATGCAGCTTTGCTTGCCGTTTAAACGAGGATATTCCATTTAAGTCTTTTATTTTTTGATTTTTCAAGTTTTTTTATATTTTGGGACCCTGTGAAGTAATTGAAAATTCAGAACGCCGGGTTTTAGTTTTTTTAATATAATAGTTATGGAAACTATTTGATTGCAGATTATAATTTTGAGAAAATGATGGCAAAAATATGTCTAAAAAATAATTTGGAATCATATTATTTTTTAGACATAAAGATTAGAATCTGGTATAAAATAAGTTTTTTTAAGTTTAAGACTTATATTTGTCATTGCATTAGTAGGATTGTCCATTCTACCTAAATAATGAATTGCTTTACAACCATGGTTTCGTAAGCCTTGTAGTTTGATTAATTTTGTTTTGAGTGTATTAGCACACACTATATTAGCATATGTGAGATGACTGTTAATTAGAAAAAAAGTAGTTTTTTTAGACGTTTTTCCAATATTTTCGCTTTTCTAACTACTTTTTTTAAAAAGTGCAACTACCTACAAAACTCTAACTTTTTTAAAAAATTAATGCACTTTAGTTAATCAGAAATAACTCATCTGTTTTAAAACTTGATACCTGACCGCTTTTTAATAAGAACTTATTATTAATAAAACGTCAAAAATCATATATTGGTAAAAAAGTGATATGTAGTTAGCAAAAATGAAAACTGCAAAGTGAAACGAATTTTCTAGATGTTGTAGGTAAAAATATAGATCATATATAGATCGAAGTATAGATTACTTGTGGTCTCTATTCCCTACACTTAGTTAATTTAAGTATTTAAATTTCTCATTTAAGACTTAGTTAATTTAAGTATTTAAATTTTCTCTATTATTTTAAGTATATAAATTTCTCATTTTTGCCGGAAATTTTATTTCACTTTCAATTTTGTTTTGATATTTTTTTGTGATTAACTTTTATTTTCCATGTAAAGATTTCGCTTGAGTTCATTGATCATAAAATGAAAAGGTTTTATTTATTTATAAACTTTTTAGAGTTTTTTGGTGTTATGAAAAGTAACACCAAAAAACTCTAAACATGGCTTTTAAACAATACGTTAAATGTCCATCTATTAATACGTCCTTGATTAAACGTTTACTCATCTGCTCTTGTTGCTTGCGTATTGCGTAATAAACTCGTCTGTTTCATTAGGTGTTTTTACTTTTTGTTTTTTTGTTTGCTGTAAGTTTTTGAAGATATAAGCTGGAAATATGTTCTTAAGTTTAAAGTTTACTATATTTATATGTTAATTTTTTTCTATACCTTTTACTTTTATTTACTTTTTTCTCAGAGCAAACGTTTATAATTTTAAATGGTACTCTAAAAAGTTAATTTTAATCTCCTTTTTGTTTAAGTTGTAAATTATTCTATTCAAAATATGTTTTTATTTTTCTATTTAGATATTTCTTTTTGTGGGAGGGGCAGTAGTGGGGGTTGGATGGTTGGCGGATGAGGTAACTGAATGTTGACTTTTCAGAGGAGTCTCTGGAAGTTTGATAGCTTGTTGAGAAGGGGATGGGTAAATAAATATTGCCAGAAAATCGTTGAGGAAATTAATGGACATTCCCTAGCTCTGGTCTGGGGAAGCTTTTGTTTAAATCTTATCTATATGCTTATATTTATTTTGCGGAAAAAGTGATCACGTGATCGAATCTTATTTTAGAAAACTTACTGAATAATTTCTTTACATAAAACAAATTTATAATGCAAACTTTGGAAAATAAGCTCTTTCCCCATTTGACTTATTAAACAAAATTTCTGAAATTTGGGGAACTCTTTAGTAATGTAGTGGTTTTACTGCGTATTTTTGCTTCAATTCCAGTGACAGTGGCCGAAAGTGAGCGTTTATTCAGTAAATTAAAGCTCATCAAATATTTTTTGCGCTCAACTATGGGATAAGAACGAACAAGTGACCTCGCCATTATGAGTATTGAGTGTCTATTAGCACGAAACATTGACTTTCATGACGTGAAAAATAAGAATGTAAGAAACAAAAAGTGGACTATTTAATTTATATATCAGTAATAAGTAATATAACCAAAATGTTTGACTAGGCTTTTTTTTTTGGAGTAAGAGTTAATATCATGACACATTTTCTGAAATTTGGGGAACTCTTTAGTAATGTAGTGATTTTATTGCGTATTTTTGCTTCAATTCAAGTGACAGTGGCCGCAAGTGAGCGTTCATTCAGTAAATTGAATCTCATCAAGTATTTTTTGCGCTCAACTATGGGATAAGAACGAACAAGTGACTATTTTATCATAAAATATAGCAACTTCTCAAATAGACTTTAAGTTTTACGTAACCTCAAACAACATTAGTGTAATGTCTAATCCTAAACTTACGGAAAATGAATTATTAGACGCAGTCTCTTTGTTAAAGCCCAAAAAAGTGTAGGTTTCGATTCTATAAGTAGTAATGTCTTTATTAAATCGATAAAATACATAACAATTCCTTTACTACATATTTTTAGTTTATCTTTAAAACATGGTGTTTTTCCAGAAAACCTAAAAATTGCAAAAATCATTCCAATTTTAAAGTCAGGCGATCCTTCTGAAGTTGCAAGTTATCGTCCAATCTCAATTCTTAATTGTTTTTCTTAAATATTAGAGCGAGTTATGTATAATAGGCTTTATTCTTTTTTAAACGTAAATAATATTCTTTACCATAAACAATTTAGATTTAAATCTGGCCATTCCACCGATCATGCAATCATTCACCTTGTTCAGGACATATTTAAATCGTTTGATGAAGGCATGTATACCCTAGGTCTTTTTATCGATTTAAGTAAAGCTTTCGATACAGTCAATCATCAAATCCTTCTATCGAAACTCAAAAGTTATGGTATAAAAAATACTAACTTGTCCTGGTTCGAGAGTTATTTGACCAATAGGAAGCAGTATATAGTTTATGATGAAGGAAAAACTAATTATGAGACAATTAAATGTGGTGTTCCTCAAGGATCAATTTTAGGGCTACTTCTATTTCTTGTTTATATAAACGATTTAAATAAATTTTCTAACATTTTAAATACAGTTTTGTTTGCAGATGATACCAGCTTGTTTTATTCCAACAAAGATATCAATATATTTTTCCAAACATTAAACAAAGAACTAGACAAACTAACCCAATGGTTTAAATCAAACAAGTTATCTTTAAATATTACTAAAACAAAATACGCTTTATTCCATCGCCTACATAAAAAATCAGATATTCTCTTAGAACTCCTAGACCTTTTTATTGACAATCAATTAATAAAGAGAGAGCAATCAATAAAGTGTTTAGGCGTGTTTCTAGACGAAAATGTAACCTGGTGGAAACACATAGGTGTAGTTGAAGATAAAATATCAAAAAATTTAGGAATAATGTACAAAGAAAAGCAGTTATTACATCGATCTTGTTTAAAAAACATTTACTTTTCTTTTATTCATTGCTACTTAAGTTATGCGAACATTGCTTGGTGTAGCACTAACGTGACAAAAAAAAATTGCTTAGCAATCAAAAACAGGCTATAAGGATAATTTCAAATGTAGATCGTTTTTCACACACACAAACACTTTTTAATGAACTCAATATCCTAAATGTATATAAACTAAACCTCTATCAAGTTCTTATTTTCATGCTCAAACTTGATTAAAACATATTACCAATC